TGGGAGGACCTCTACATGGACTTCATCACAAGTCTTCCCAAGTCTAGAGGATTTGAAGCCATTCTTGTCGTAGTTGATCGATTAGCAAAGTACGCTCATTTTCTTCCTCTGAAACACCCTTATACAGCTAAGGGAATTGCAGAATGTTTTGCAAGAAAAATTGTTAAACTACATGGAATCCGTAATTCTATTGTTAGTGATTGAGACCCCCTATTTATTAGCAATTTTTGGTGAGATTTCTTTCGACTTCAAGGTACAACCCTTAGAATGAGCTCTACATATCACCCTGAGACCGATGGTTAAACAGAAGTTGTTAATCGTTGCCTAAAGACATACTTAAGATGTTTTATTTTAGAGCAACCAAGGGCCTGGTCTCAATGGGTATCTTGGGTAGAATTGTGGTACAACACCACCTTTCATATTTCCACAAAATCTACTCCCTTTGAAGTGGTGTATGGTAGAAACCCTCCTAGCCTGACTCGTTACCTTCCAAGAGAAACCAAAGTTGAGGTAGTAGCAAGGGAGTTGCTGCATAGGGATGAGATTCTAAGACAATTAAAATATCACTTGCATCGTGCACAACAACAAATGAAAAAATATGTTGACCAAAAGCGAAGAGATTTGTCCTTCGAAACAGGTGAGTGGGTATTTTTGAAATTAAGGCCTCACCGTCAGCAATTAGTAGTCAAGAGAGTAAATCAGAAGGTTGCTACCCGCTTTTGTGGCCCTTTCCAAGTTCTAGAACGTTGTGGACTGGTTGCATATAAGCTAAAGTTGCCTCCTTCCTCTAGGGTACACCCTATCTTCCACTTATCCCAATAAAAGAAGGCAATTGACAATTATTCTGTAGAGCCAGACCTTCCACAAGGGCTAGAATTGGAGATACCAGAGTTTGTAGAACCAGAGAGCATCATTGCTGCAAGAAAGTCATCCAAACAAGGTGAGACAACTCAACAACTTCTTGTGAAATGGAAGAACAAGCCTATGGATGATGCTACATGGGAAGACGAGTTTGTCATACGTAGTCAATTTCCTTCCTTCAGCCTTGAGAACAAGGCTGCTTTCATAGGAGAGTGCAATGATAGAGCCCAATTAGTAAGGCAAGATAGCAGGCCTAAGGTGTGGAGAGTCTACACTAGGAGGAATAAGATTTAATAGTTTATTATCTGTTTGTTATCTATTTAGGAACTTGATAATTATTTCTGTTTTATCTTTTTAAATTAAAGTAAGGATTATCTAGGAAGTTAACAATAGATAAGATTATCTAGGAAGTTTGCTAGGAGGGATATAAAAAAGGGGTTAGGGGAAGTCTCGGGGAAAACAAAGAGAGAAAAGTTATTCTTTAAGAAATTGTTCGGAGCCTATGTTCTGGGAAAAAGAGAAAGGTGATCACTACCTGTAATTCTTTTTTATTCAATAAAGTATTCTTATATTTCTAGGGTCCTAATAGAAACTTTGATCTATTTGAAAAATCATAACCTGATAAGGCCACAAAGGTTGGTTTGTAGGTAGTGAATCTGCATCCCTTAAGCTGCTATAATTTGCTAATTATAAATTTCTAATCCATGAATAACTGCTTAGGGTTTAGCCTCCTTAATTGCAGTCACCCTTAACCCACCTTAGTTGTGACCTTTTTGAGAGTTTCCTTAATTAATTGCAGCCTCATGGGTGGAGGTTAGTCTCGCATCGACTATAGAGAACACTTAAATAGAGCTTAAAAAGTTTGAGCATTTCTATCTTTCTATGTCAATTTTATGAGGTTAAGTTAGATTTTAAGTTCGAATTCTAATATAGTATTAGAGTTTATTTTAGATTTATTGTTGGACCACCTACATTTTTTCCATGCTCTAGGCTGATAGCCATAGCCCTGGGTGTAAGGGAGAGTGTCTGGAAAGATGCCTTAATTAAGATCATTCCTAGTCTCGCCTTAGTTGTGGTCTCTTTGTGGTTTACCTTAATTTTTAGCTTGATGGGTGGTGGTTAGTCCTACATCGACTAGAGATAAAACTTAAATACTAGTTATAAAGCTTGGACAATCCTCACTTACAAGTTAGTCTTATGGTGTTGAGTTAGGCACTAAGCTCAAATTCTAAGAGTAGCTAACACAAAGCTACATATGGGGTATTTCAGGTTAGATTCTGTATAATTTTAAAGACATAATAGGACTATTTAATTTTGGAATTCGTGTATCTAGTAATGAATGAGGTAAAATAGCTAAGACATTGTTATCATATTATAACTAAATTGTATTATTGTTCGATGTTTCTACAAACTGTTTTCCTGGGCAATGTTTGATATTCATTTGAAGCTTTGCTGTTTGAAACTTAGCCATAGTTATCTTATATGAAAGAATAAGAACACTTGAATATGAATAATTTCTTATGATGAATCTGAATGAGCATGGCTGTGGAAGGGAAACTGAACTGACAGAGAGTTGCAGCTAAAGTGCTGAATTGAGCGCTGCATCGGTGGGTCTTGATGACCGTATTTGGTCTTAAAGTCTTCATAAAAGTCTTAGCCTTGGATCTTATCTTTCCAATGGCGTTGGAATCACCCAAAAAGGAGTTCTAGAACTCCAGATATTGCTATTTTAGTGAACAGGGGTCAAGCTGCCATCATTGATTATAGCTGTTGCGGTTTTTAGAATTTTTAACAAAGAAGATGATAGAATTAGGACTTTATGTCTTCATAAGAGTTGTAGGAAATCTTCTTATCTTTCGTATGAGATAAGGATGAGTATGATAGGAGTAGTATAACTCCCGATATGCTATTTTATGTGAAGGTTGTCATTTCACAAAGAGTGATTTGGATAAGTTGATAGTTGTTTTGTATGTTTAAATTATTCATGTTGTTATATATGATAAATTGTTGAACAATGTTGAATATTGAGATGATGAGTTGGAAAATTTGTGTGTTTTTTAAATTTGTTAAGTTGAGATGTGTTGTATGTTGTTTATGTTGTTAAAGATGTTAAGTTGAGCTGTGTTGAATGTTGTTTATGCTGTTAAAGATGTTAAGTTGAGCTGTGTCGTAAGCTGTGATGATGAGCTGTTGATCACTAGGACTAGAGGAGATGTTTTCAAAATTTCTCATCCCATTGTGAGGATTGAGAAGCTATGGTGCTCAGAGAGCCCAATTTGTTGAAAACCCTCCTTGGAAAGCTGCCCCTTGGAGTGAACATTGTGTTGTTCTCCTCTAGTACTTAGTTGGTCCCTTGTGTGGGCAAGGTCGAGGCACACGTGTACAAAGAGACCACGGTCAGGGCTGCAAATCCACGGCCATAGCTGCAAGTTTCTGTCACTCCAAATTTTTTCCACAGCTATGGTTGCAATTCCACAGCCATGGATGCAAGTCTTTGCTACTCCTTTTTTTTTTCCTCAACCATCACGTTTTTCCCTCTCACGGCTATGGTTGTGAATCCACGACTATAGCTGTGGGTTCTTAAAACTTCATTTTCCTCCACGGCTATAGCTGTGGGTTTCTGAAACTCCTAAAACACCATGGATTTCACCTTCGTTTTCAATCAAATCCTCCATGAACCTGCAATCCAAGGAACCCCAGTCCATGCTTTCATAAGAGTTGTAGGAAATCTTCTTATCTTTCGTATGAGATAAGGATGAGTATGATAGGAGTAGTATAACTCCCGATATGCTATTTTATGTGAAGGTTGTCATTTCACAAAGAGTGATTTGGATAAGTTGATAGTTGTTTTGTATGTTTAAATTATTCATGTTGTTATATATGATAAATTGTTGAACAATGTTGAATATTGAGATGATGAGTTGGAAAATTTGTGTGTTTTTTAAATTTGTTAAGTTGAGATGTGTTGTATGTTGTTTATGTTGTTAAAGATGTTAAGTTGAGCTGTGTTGAATGTTGTTTATGCTGTTAAAGATGTTAAGTTGAGCTGTGTCGTAAGCTGTGATGATGAGCTGTTGATCACTAGGACTAGAGGAGATGTTTTCAAAATTTCTCATCCCATTGTGAGGATTGAGAAGCTATGGTGCTCAGAGAGCCCAATTTGTTGAAAACCCTCCTTGGAAAGCTGCCCCTTGGAGTGAACATTGTGTTGTTCTCCTCTAGTACTTAGTTGGTCCCTTGTGTGGGCAAGGTCGAGGCACACGTGTACAAAGAGACCACGGTATAGGGGCCAGGTCGAGCTATACCAATTACAAGCGGACAATTCGAGTAAAGTACGAAGTCGGGAACTTAGTTCCTAACCGAGTATCAGAAGGTTGTAGTATTTGGAGGATAGTCGGTAGGCTAATCCCATATGTGGCTTAGTTAAGCTAGCTAATGTCGTGGTAGGCCTAAACCCAGCTGTTCTATCTTGACATAGTACTATACTTCCTTGTTTAAGTGGCAGAGTCTGAGAAATCGTTATCGTGCTGTGGATTGGTAATCCAAATTTGCTGTTTACCTAGCAAACCCAAAAAAGTTCTTTGCTGTCGGTTCGGTAGGACCTCGCCACTTAAGCTGCTCACCCATGTTGTAGGAGATCTCCGAGTTGAAATGGGTGACGACGCATAAGCTGTTGATGTGTTTAGCTTATGTTGATATGAGTTGTATATGTGATTCTATATTGTTAAGCTGTGCAGTAACTGTGTGTTGTTATGTATTGTATGTTGAACCTATTGAGAATGATATTTGTGTGTTTTTTAAATTTGTTAAGTTGAGATGTGTTGTATGTTGTTTATGTTGTTAAAGATGTTAAGTTGAGCTGTGTTGAATGTTGTTTATGCTGTTAAAGATGTTAAGTTGAGCTGTGTCGTAAGCTGTGATTTATAGTTGTCAATAGCGGTAGGAGCGGCCGCAATCGCGGCGCTCTGGAGCGGAGCGGCCCGACGCCGCAATTGTTGGTCTGTTGCGTCTCGGATTTGTGTTGCGGCTGGAGCGGCCGCGTCGGTCGTGGAGCGGAGCGGCCAAAAATGGCGGAATCGCGGCGCGTCTTGGACTTACCCTTCGTTAAGGGTAAGTCTGTCATTTCAGGGTTTTTTTTCCCTAATTCTTCCTCTCCCCCTCGCGGAACCAGTGCTGTTGTTTAGGGTTTTTCGCGCTCCTTCTCCTCTCTCTCTCTCGATTGATTCTTTCTCTCTTGGGGACGCGACGAACTCCGGTTGTCTTCTTCAGGCGTCTCTGTCCGACGCACTCCAGTTCCGATGCACTCCGTCAGTTCCGACGCTCCTGCTCCGACGCTCCTGCTGTCCGACGCTCCTCCGGTCCTGTCTTGTTCTTTCGTCTTCTCATTTCCTATTTTGTAATTCAGCAGATTTTTATTTTTAATTTTTGATTAAATTTAATTCAACAAATTTTTTTTAATTTTTGATTAAATTTAATTCAGCATATTTGTTTTTAATTTTTGATTAAATTTAATTCAGAAGATTTTTTTTTAAAATTTCTGATTAAATTTAATTCAGCAATTTTTTTATAAAATTCTGATTAAATTTAATTCAGCAGATTTTTTTATTTAATTTCTGATTAAATTTAATTGAGCAGAATTTTTTTTAATTTCTGATTAAATTTAATTCAACAGATTTTTTTTTTAATTTCTGATTAAATTTAATTCAACAGATTTTTTAAAATTCTGATTAAATTTAATTCAGCAGATTTTTTTAATGCATGAATTTAGAATTATTTTTTGTTCTTTTAGCTTTTATATATATATTATTAATTATTTAATATATAAAAATTGATATTAAAATACCGGTTATCCCGCTCCGCGTCATCCCGCAATCCCATTTTTAGGGTTTACCGCTCCGCTCCGCTATCCGGGATTCACTACTAGCAAAAACAGCAGCTACTTCTTGAGCAGAGAAAGGATGACCCAAAGAGCAAAAATGAGCATATTTAGTCAAACGATCTACGATCACTAGGACTAGAGGAGATGTTTTCAAAATTTCTCATCCCATTGTGAGGATTGAGAAGCTATGGTGCTCAGAGAGCCCAATTTGTTGAAAACCCTCCTTGGAAAGCTGCCCCTTGGAGTGAACATTGTGTTGTTCTCCTCTAGGATGTTACGTTGAGCTGTGTCGTAAGCTGTGATGATGAGCTGTTGATCACTAGGACTAGAGGAGATGTTTTCAAAATTTCTCATCCCATTGTGAGGATTGAGAAGCTATGGTGCTCAGAGAGCCCAATTTGTTGAAAACCCTCCTTGGAAAGCTGCCCCTTGGAGTGAACATTGTGTTGTTCTCCTCTAGTACTTAGTTGGTCCCTTGTGTGGGCAAGGTCGAGGCACACGTGTACAAAGAGACCACGGTATAGGGGCCAGGTCGAGCTATACCAATTACAAGCGGACAATTCGAGTAAAGTACGAAGTCGGGAACTTAGTTCCTAACCGAGTATCAGAAGGTTGTAGTATTTGGAGGATAGTCGGTAGGCTAATCCCATATGTGGCTTAGTTAAGCTAGCTAATGTCGTGGTAGGCCTAAACCCAGCTGTTCTATCTTGACATAGTACTATACTTCCTTGTTTAAGTGGCAGAGTCTGAGAAATCGTTATCGTGCTGTGGATTGGTAATCCAAATTTGCTGTTTACCTAGCAAACCCAAAAAAGTTCTTTGCTGTCGGTTCGGTAGGACCTCGCCACTTAAGCTGCTCACCCATGTTGTAGGAGATCTCCGAGTTGAAATGGGTGACGACGCATAAGCTGTTGATGTGTTTAGCTTATGTTGATATGAGTTGTATATGTGATTCTATATTGTTAAGCTGTGCAGTAACTGTGTGTTGTTATGTATTGTATGTTGAACCTATTGAGAATGATGATGGTGCTGTTAAGTTGAGGGTTGTTTATATATACCTATATGTTGGTTATTTTCACTAGCTTACCCTTGCATGTTTCCATGTGGTTTGTGTGACAGCCAGGAAGAGACAGTAATGCATTGTTTCAGGGACTGTCATGAGGTGCAAGAAGTGTGGCGAATTTTACAATTTGTAAGTTGTGACACTTTTTATCAGATAGATAATTTTAAGATGTGGGTCAATCATGGGATTAAGTTGGGAGGCGCATTATTTTTATCTACAATTTGGGAGATTTGGTTGGGGAGGAATCGATTGGTGTTTGAGGGCAGTAAAACAAAGGCTTGGCAGGTAGCGTTGGCTGCCAAATCACTTTCAGAGGCTATGACAAATGTTTTTTTAAACCATGAGGTGAATAGTAATTTGCCAAAATGGGTGGGGTGGTCAGCTCCTTCCGAGAATTGCGTCATTCTAAATACGGATGGGAGTGTTATGGAAGACAAAGCTGGTTTTGGGGGTGTGTTGAGGAGTTCGAACGGTGCTTGGATTCATGGTTTTTGTGGAAATGTGGATGGCTATGAGATTATTGGAGTGGAGTTGTTAGGCATTCTACAAGGCTTACGTATTGCTCAAAGATTAGGCTTATCAAGAGTTTATTGTCAAACCAATTCTTTGGCTGCAGTAAAGTGGATTCAAGGAGGGGTGTCTCATATGCATCATTACTCAAATTTAGTGCAAGAAATTCACAAACTGTTGGACAAGGATTGGGCAGTTTCTATATCTCATGTCCTTAGAGAATGCAACAAGTGTGCCGACTATTTTGCAAAATTGGGCCTTAACTGTCCTGATAGATTAACTAATTTTATGGAGCCTCCTCTGGATGTTATTCCATTGCTTCAAGCGGATGCTGCTGGAGAGCGTTTTCTGAGAGTCTAGCTTCTGCTTTTCTTGTTGCCTGTCGTTTTCTTTCCTTTTGTTTTTTTTAGCATCTTCAACTACCAAAAAAAAATATTATTTAATCAATTATAGTGAGCATCCATTTGATATGTTAGTGACCTTAATTACTAAAATTTAAAACAATTACAAGCTTAGTCTTATTGTTTGAAATCCTATTTATACTCCACTTGTTCGACCTTTGACCAAGTCTAATTTGTTTATGGAACCTGCTAATTAGAACAATTTAAAATAATTGAAATCTTAGTTCTGTCTATTTGAAAATTTATTTATGCCCCACTTACTCAACCTATGACAAAATTTCTCTATTTGTGGGCTTTTAGTTACAAAATCTTAAAACAATTGTAAGCTCATTCTAGTTCATTTAACATCTATTCATAACTTATTTACTCGACCTATGACCAATTTTGATTTGATTATTGAACTATAAATATAAAAATTAAAAACAATTACAAACTTAGTCTTATCAATCTTATTTAAAATTTTTAGAACTAGATAATCGATTATTTTAAAGGATAATTGATTATTTTGTTCTTCATGATTTCTGGAAATCAACTAAGAACAGATTAATCGATTATTTTGCAGGATAATCGATTATTCCAGAGAGTGATTCCTGGGATAATCGATTATTTCACAAATAATCGATTATTACAGCAAGGCATCCTTTTCACCTGTTGCTGGAATAATCGATTATATTTAATGATAATCGATTATTTTGAGTCAGTTTTCAAAAACTTTGTTTTATGTCTCAAAATAACTTTTCAAGTTTCTAACTCATCATCATACTCACTCTTAGTTAGATTAGATAAAGATTAACCCATGCACAAAGCACATACATGCAAAATAAGCTCAAGAAAACAATACAACTTATGAGCTACTCCTATTACACATCATAATAGCCATATTTTCTTCTTGACTTTGTTTTTGACTTGTTGATGTCCTTGGTCAGCTTTGATTCTCAGAATCCATACTTTGTTATCATCAAAACCTTCATTCTCCAAGCTTGAGTTGATTCACCACTCCATGAATCTCAACATTTGTAAGCCCCGACTCTATTCTTCTTTACTCTTCATTTCATCTTCTAGGCTGAAGCTAAATCCTTTTCTCCTCTCTTCTTGTTCTTTGAAGATTAAACTGAAGAGAAACTGGGTTTTGGTGCTAGAGAGGTTGAAGTTTGGGAAATAACCCGGAGTCGTGTGAAAGCTTGTCTTCTTCTTCCCCCAAAGCTTAGATTCTTCTTCACCGAGGTAAGGGAAGCTAGAAAACTTGAGATTTTGTTTTGCATGTTAGGTTGTTGAGTAAATAGAGGCTTGATTCTGGAAAAATTGTAAATGGGGGGATGAATCTGAAGTGATTCTCATGTTGAACATTGGGGTTTTGGTTTCTTGTTGGAAGGTTGAACATTGATGATTTTTCTTGAGCTTTGGATGCATGCATGTTGTGATTCTTGATGTTTTTGGGTTGCATATGGTTGGTAGTGTTGCATTTGAGTTGTAGCATGGACTGGGGTTCCTTGGATTGCAGGTTCATGGAGGATTTGATTGAAAACGAAGGTGAAATCCATGGTGTTTTAGGAGTTTCAGAAACCCACAGCTATAGCCGTGGAGGAAAATGAAGTTTTAAGAACCCACAGCTATAGTCGTGGATTCACAACCATAGCCGTGAGAGGGAAAAACGTGATGGTTGAGGAAAAAAAAAAGGAGTAGCAAAGACTTGCATCCATGGCTGTGGAATTGCAACCATAGCTGTGGAAAAAATTTGGAGTAACAGAAACTTGCAGCTATGGCCGTGGATTTGCAGCCATGGCTGTGGAAGGGAAACTGAACTGACAGAGAGTTGCAGCTAAAGTGCTGAATTGAGCGCTGCATCGGTGGGTCTTGATGACCGTATTTGGTCTTAAAGTCTTCATAAAAGTCTTAGCCTTGGATCTTATCTTTCCAATGGCGTTGGAATCACCCAAAAAGGAGTTCTAGAACTCCAGATATTGCTATTTTAGTGAACAGGGGTCAAGCTGCCATCATTGATTATAGCTGTTGCGGTTTTTAGAATTTTTAACAAAGAAGATGATAGAATTAGGACTTTATGTCTTCATAAGAGTTGTAGGAAATCTTCTTATCTTTCGTATGAGATAAGGATGAGTATGATAGGAGTAGTATAACTCCCGATATGCTATTTTATGTGAAGGTTGTCATTTCACAAAGAGTGATTTGGATAAGTTGATAGTTGTTTTGTATGTTTAAATTATTCATGTTGTTATATATGATAAATTGTTGAACAATGTTGAATATTGAGATGATGAGTTGGAAAATTTGTGTGTTTTTTAAATTTGTTAAGTTGAGATGTGTTGTATGTTGTTTATGTTGTTAAAGATGTTAAGTTGAGCTGTGTTGAATGTTGTTTATGCTGTTAAAGATGTTAAGTTGAGCTGTGTCGTAAGCTGTGATGATGAGCTGTTGATCACTAGGACTAGAGGAGATGTTTTCAAAATTTCTCATCCCATTGTGAGGATTGAGAAGCTATGGTGCTCAGAGAGCCCAATTTGTTGAAAACCCTCCTTGGAAAGCTGCCCCTTGGAGTGAACATTGTGTTGTTCTCCTCTAGTACTTAGTTGGTCCCTTGTGTGGGCAAGGTCGAGGCACACGTGTACAAAGAGACCACGGTATAGGGGCCAGGTCGAGCTATACCAATTACAAGCGGACAATTCGAGTAAAGTACGAAGTCGGGAACTTAGTTCCTAACCGAGTATCAGAAGGTTGTAGTATTTGGAGGATAGTCGGTAGGCTAATCCCATATGTGGCTTAGTTAAGCTAGCTAATGTCGTGGTAGGCCTAAACCCAGCTGTTCTATCTTGACATAGTACTATACTTCCTTGTTTAAGTGGCAGAGTCTGAGAAATCGTTATCGTGCTGTGGATTGGTAATCCAAATTTGCTGTTTACCTAGCAAACCCAAAAAAGTTCTTTGCTGTCGGTTCGGTAGGACCTCGCCACTTAAGCTGCTCACCCATGTTGTAGGAGATCTCCGAGTTGAAATGGGTGACGACGCATAAGCTGTTGATGTGTTTAGCTTATGTTGATATGAGTTGTATATGTGATTCTATATTGTTAAGCTGTGCAGTAACTGTGTGTTGTTATGTATTGTATGTTGAACCTATTGAGAATGATGATGGTGCTGTTAAGTTGAGGGTTGTTTATATATACCTATATGTTGGTTATTTTCACTAGCTCTTTAGGTTAAAGTAGCGCTCCAATTTATGGGTCCAACCAAAAGCATCTTCGCCCGCAAAAATTGGAATTTCCAATTTGCGCCACCGTTCGTTGCCCCTATCGCTGGAACTGTTGTGATCCCCACTGGCTGTGTGGTTGTCGGTTTCGCCTGGCTGCACTCCTAATTTGGCAGCAATTGCCATGAGGAGTTCCTCGTTTTTCTTGGTCCTGGCTTCATTCAGTTCCATTCTAGTCCTCATCTCTTCCCTCTCTTGAGCCCATTCTTCCATGCTTCGCTCCATCCCTCGTGTGGTTACCATGCGCAGTGATAGAACTGGTACCAATCAAATATGGAATTCAGATTTAATAACAACAAAATGCTGGAACTTTATTAATCATAATATTGTTTCTTGAGACGAATTACAACTGGACACCAATAGCCAGCTACCCAAAACCTAATTCTTCCCAAGCATGATCCCCAATAGAGGTACAATATCCCCTATTTAAACTAAATCTAATAACTGAAAATAGATAACTAATCAAAACAAACTATTAAAAGATAAACCTAAAAAATAGATAAATTATTTAAAATAGATAAACCAAAGCTTTAAAATAAATAATGATAAAACAGATACTCAATTCTGTTTGGCTAACTATTATCATTATTTTCCCTTTTGTGGTGCCTCCTATATACCTTAGTAATAGGAGGTTTCGGTTGAAGTCTATCATCTACCCACCGACATCCAACAACAGATTTTTCAGGCGGAGGTGAGACAAGTACCCAAGTGTAGTTGGAGTCTAAAGCTGTCATCTCATCAATCATTGCTTGTCGCCATCCTGGATGGGTTAAGGCCTCCTGTACTGTCTTGGGAATGGTAATAGAGGAAATAGCAGAGACAAAAGCATAATAGGTAGGAGACAAACGATGATATGAAAGAAAGTTATAAATAGGATGAGGATTACAAGTAGAACGACTACCTTTACGAAGAGCAATGGGCAAGTCAACTGAGGTAGGTGGGGCCGGAGTAGGTGAGGAGACTGAAGCAGGAGTAGAATCACATGGCTCAATTGAAGAATCATTGGGAGGAACAACAGTATGTGATCGACGCTCATAAGTTATCCCAAATCGGTGTAGAGGATGGTCAGACCCTGGTAGTGCGGGAGGATCTGGTGCCTCTAAAGTAGCAGGTGTGGTAGGAGGCACACTATGATCAAAATGAGGAATAGGCAATACCTGAGAGAGGAGATCTGAGTCAACCGGAGAAACATCTGTGGCAATAAAATATGGTGTATCTTCAAAGAAAGTGACATCTGCACTGGTGTAAAATCGATGCGTAGCAGGAGAGTAACAACGATACCCCTTTTGAACACGGGAGTATCCTAAGAAAACACATTTGATGGCCCGAGCAGACAACTTAGCACGTCCTGAGAAAAGATCATGGACAAAACAGGTACAGCCAAAGACACGAGGATGAACAGAATAAAGGGGATCCAATGGGTATAATAGGGAATGAGGTACTTGATCATTCAAGACAGACGATGGCATTCGATTTATTAAATACCCTGCAGTGAGGACAGCATCGCCCCACAACTTTGGGGGTGCATTGGCATTCAATAAAAGAGTACGAGCAGTGTCCACAATATGTCTATGTTTTCGCTCAGCTACACCATTTTGTTGAGGTGTATGAGGGCAACTAGATTGATGTAGAATGCCATGGGAAGCCATAAATGATTTGAAGCAATCTGAAAAATATTCTTTAGCATTATCACTTCGTAAAATCCGAATTACTTTGCCAAATTGAGTTTTGATCTCCGAATAGAAACTTAGGAAAATATTGAATAACTCAGAACGATTTTTCATTAAAAATATCCAAGTACATCTAGAAAAATCATCAATAAAGGTGACGTAATACCTATGTCCTAAAAGAGAAGGAATGCGACTAGGACCCCAAACATCAGAATGAATAACATCAAAAGGAGACATAGCTCGACTATTAATACTATTAGGAAAAGAAGCTCTAACATGCTTCCCTAATTGACACGACTCACACTCTAAGGACACCAACCGTGAGAGATGAGGTACCATTTTCTTTAATTTATTCAAGCTTGGATGACCCAGGCGACGATGAATTAAACCAGGAGACTCAATAGATGCACATATGGTAGAGGTAGAAGGCTGAAGGTAGTAGAGACCATGTGATTCAGATCCGGCTCCAATCGTCTGTCCCGTACTCCGGTCCTGTATCAAGAAAGAATCAGAAGTGAAGGTTATGACACAGTTTAGTGACCGAGTCAACTTACTTATAGAAATCAAATTAAAGGGACATCCAGGAACTAGTAAAACAGATTTTAATGGTAGTGATGGGAGAGGTGATATTTGGCCAATACCAGTGGCTTGAACTTTTGACCCATCTGCAAGAGTGATATGGTGTGGAGTTTTAGGTGATGATAGGTTAGGGAAAAGGGAGACATTACCAGTTAGGTGATCAGAAGCACCGGAGTCCAAAACCCAAGGTCCAATAGAAGTAGAATGAGAGAGACAAACTGTAGAATTACCAGTATGAGCAACAGTGATGGAAGAGGAGGCCTGTTTAGTTGCCTTCAATTGAAGATACTCTTGGTAATCATCGGTAGATAATGTGATTGGATGATTGCCCTCCGGTTCAATCTTGAGCTCTGGAGCTGAAGTTGGAGATTGAACCACATTAGCTGTCTTGCTCGGAAAGCCATGCAAGGAATAACACCTGTCTCGTGTATGTCCATCTCTCTGACAGTAGGTACAATGGAGGTTTCCTCTACCCCCTTTACCACGACCACGACCTCGACCACGCCCTCGACTTCCACGGTCAGCTGTACTAGAGATAAAAGCAGAGGACTCAGATTCTGTGTGAGGATCTGCCTCTGGTGAAGGGACCCGAATCAGTCGATCTATGAGTTCTTCTACTGTAGGAATGACAGGATTTGTCAAGATTTGATCTCGAACAGATCCGTAATCTTTGTGGAGTCCTTGAAGGATAAACACCATAAACATATTATCAAGTTTGTTTAATATTTGTTGAGGATCATCACTAACCAACATTAGCTTGAGCTCATCAATAGTGGATTGAGCACGATTCAAATACGTTGGCAAATCATTATCAACCATACGAAGAGTTGCCAGACCATGAACAGACTCGTATATTCTTTGGATATCATTGGCATAGACATTTCGAGCCTTCTTCCAAATATCATAGCATGTCTTGTACGGACGAAAATGCACCATTAATTTAGGCTCAATGGACTGCCACAATAGAGATACAAGTTGATAATCTGCCCGTTGCCATTCATCTCTCACCTCTTTATCAATTTCGGACGCCCTTTTAGTAAGATGATCATAGAGACCCTGACCTAAAAACCACATTTCAACCGCAGTGGACCAATCCAAATAATTTTTACCATTAAGCTTTTCAGATGTAATAGTAGGTGATCCAGAAAAGGCAAAGGAGACCAGCCCCCTTTTGGAAGATTCAATTTTTGGATTCTCCTTAGGAATCTCTGCCATGAAGAGAAAAAGAAGAAAAACAGCAAACAATCAGTCACGAAACTCCGAGGTAGCACCCAATCAACCACGGAACTCCGAGGTAGCAACCAACCCACCAAGGAACCCCGAGACAGCAACCAAACAGCCACGGAACTCCGAGACAGCAACCAAACAACCACAGAACTTCGAGGCAGCAACCAAACAACCATGAAACTCCGAGGCCGCAACCAAACGACCACCAACAGACCACCTAGAGTGTGACCCACAACCTGAAAAGGGTCAAAACGGGAAGAGGGAGGGCCGGCGAGTCCAACGGAGTGAACCGCGTCGCAAACGGAGGCTGTGAGGGCGCGTGAGACGGCGGCTGACGGCGGCACGCGACGGGGAGGCCGATCGGCGACCTCTGAGTGTGCAGGCGGTGTCAACTCCGGCAACCGCGGACAAAACTAAAAAACCCTAAAAACCCTAGATGTTGGCTGCTGGATTAGGGTTCCTGGACCAGAGTGCTCTGGTACCAACTTGAATATGAATAATTTCTTATGATGAATCTGAATGAGTACAATAAAATAAATAGGCATAAAATATAATCAATCCCTAAAGTTTAGGGATTTAGATAAAACTGACTAAGGATGACTTAGGAGAAGATAAACTAGTATATCTAAACAGAATTATCTTAACAATCACCAAAGTGACTATTTAGTTCTTTTTTATCCCCTATATATATAATTGTTTAATTTGGAACAAAAATGAAAGTCCAGTTAATAAATGTAAACCTTAGTTTTAAGTATACAAGCCTGCTGATTAGTGTAATTAGGTGACTAATCTTGTTTCCAGCAGTTTGAATATTATCGATAAAGGATTGACAATAAGGTTCAACTGAGAAAAGTTTATATATAAAGCATAGGCACTAAGGATATCTAGGATTCTAGGTTGTTGCTCGTAAAATTCTTCCAGCTAATGTTCTCATTGGTTTAACTTTCTGGGTAGCTATGGTGGAGAATCTGACTGCAAAAATAAAAGCCTGGGAAATGGAAAAAGGAATACCCTTCTTATATGAAAAGGTGATGATCATCTCTATTTTATATTTTTTATTGCGATATGTGGAGTGAGTACTCAAGTTTCAACTTCCAACTCAATTGTTTTTCAGGTTCCTTTGTTACATAACTTGGATGAATATATTTTGCAACGGCAACTGAGAGAAGAAGAGAAGCGCAAATCTCGGGTATTCCTAGCTGCCAAAACTTTTCTTCTATTTCTACTCTTAAAACCTTCATCGTTTATGTCAATTGGAAAAAGAAAACTCTTGAATTATTTATTTTTTGACTATTCAAAATGAAAATTGATTTGGATTTCCTGGTATGGGCATGTGTTGTTCCTGTTGATCTTATTTGCTTATTGCGCTAATTGTATTTGAATATTGTCTATAATTATGTGAATTGTCTATATGTTCACGAATCTAGAAATACTCTGTTTCACATATGGTTAATAATATTATCGAATAATTTTTTACTGCCAGTTCTTGTTATGGTTTCATTTGCTTAGGTGAAAAATTTTGGTAAGTATTTTTAGCTATGGATAAGCATTAAAATGAGTAAAACGTAAAAAAGTGCAGAATGTTGGGTTTCATCTTTGAAATATAAAGCAGAGCATCTACCATATATCTGTTATGAAGATCTTGGTCTGAACTACTTTTATTTGGAAACTATTCATTGGTATGGAGTATCCACTGATTTTGTCAATGCCTAATCTCTGTCGAAGAATTTGACTGACCATCTTTAATAGAATCTTTCATTCCAATCACTTTTAATATTAAGTTCGATTTTTTTTTTGTACTGGAAAGTTGGCTGCAATTTTTTGCTTCACCTTGTGAGAATTTTTCCCTTTTGTATTTGTGCATGTTACACAATCATTTACTGATGCAGTGTTGTGCACTTCATGACCAAGTATTCCAGTTTTTATGTACATGACATCAATTTGAATGACAATTGGTTGTTTTCACCAACTTTGAACTTTTTGTTACACAACTGCTTAATCTGATATACTTAACAGGAGCAGAAGCGACTACAGGAACAACATGCTGTAGAGCAAGAGGCACTTTATGGTTCAAGGTCTGCAACCAAAAAGCCTCTAGGTCAGAGCACTAATGCTAACACCAATGTTGGGACACCCATCGGCCGCCGAATGCTTACTCCTTCCGGCCACCATCGAACCTCAGGAGGAAAGGATCGTAGAGAGAGTGGAAGAGTGAATAACATAATTCCAGTGAACTATGTTGCTCTTCCAAAAGATGATTCTGTTCCTAGGGGCAATTAAGGCTTCCCTCAAATTTAACTCTTGTAAATCAGTCAGCTTTGTAAATGCGTTTACTTTACAAGCTCTATGTTTTGAAACATCATATAAAGGATTAGCTCTCAACTAGAGGTTCTTAACTTTTTTGATTGATTGATTGTAAATTGGTAAATGACAGATGACTGACCAATTATAGGCTTGATATAAAAAGGTTGTACAATTTATGGGCTAACTAGATTAAAAATATAATAGAACTCATTCGTGCCCTTTCATGTTGTCGTCTATCTTTTGTTGTCATGTGTGGCAGTAGAGAAATCACATGGCACAATATTAACACTTTGCCTGGAAATAATAAGTTAGTTAAAAAGAACGTGGTAGACTTGTCTTGGATTCCTTAATTGGCGAAGCACTATAAGTAATAATTAACAATTATGCATATTAAGATGTAACTCTTAAAGAGCATCATTAACATTTAAGGATGGTGAAATATGGTAAATGCATTTGGATGATGGACAGTTAATCTACTTGCTAAGAGTTGCCTTGATAGATGGAGTCATATCCCCTTACAATATAAAGACAGGACATAAGGATAGTTAAATTTTTCTATCTAGAAATTCTCTTTGATTATAAGTGATATTTTCCACCGTTGAAAAGAGTTGAGAGTGGAGGGAATTTGTATATAATATGTCCTGGAGGGTAAGATTCTGAGTGATAAGAACAAGCTAGTTGGAAAGACAAACAACTATCAGGACCTTTTGAACTGTAAAGATGTTGCTACGATTTGATGTATGTTGATCGAAGTTTATTTGAGGATGTGTCGACTTATACCCATGCTTTAATTATGATGGTAACGACTCAATTTTCACCTTATAGGAATATACCTCTTTTTTCAACTTGTTTTTAATAAACTTAATTATTCCATTTGTTTGGATAAAAATTTGGAATAAAAATAGTTTCTTATAATAAGGTTTTGATCCAAAGGAAATTAATTACAAGATATTGTAATTTAATTCCGTTTCATTTTAAATAATTCATAATATGTAATTAGATTATATGTACTAATCTAGTATACAAATGTTAAAAATAAAGAAATTTTTTTTGGACTTTAGAAAAAACCTATAAAGGGTTATACATAATAATTCAGAGGTGTGACATTTAGCAAATTTTTTAGGCTGCCGATTAATTTAGTCCAGGGGGTGTATCTAGTAAGGGAATAAATTGCCAAACCAAACAAAACATATTTTGTAGGCTGACATTTATAGCTATGGATTTTCATCGAATTGGTTTTAGCTTTGATTGTGTCTACACTTTCAGTAGTTACCTGTGTTTTTGCTTTACTAATATTTCAATGTTTATATATTCTGCCTTTTCATTAATGATGATATGATAATATACTTCTTATATCCAAGCACATTGCTGTCATAGTGCATAGAGCCATTAAGCCAAAGAATATTTTTAAAATTATCATTCTATATTTGCCTTGAGATTTTCGGGTTTGGTCTAACAATTTTATTCCTCACGAGTTATAGCTTCTTATAAATCATATTAGTAGGCTTAATTACTTATGAAATATATGTATTGATTCATATGCACAATGGAAAAAGAGATATGAAAAAATTGGGAGAGTGAAGACACACTATGATTGTTATTATATTACTAGAATTTCTTTTATTACATGCGATTTTTTTATACGAATTTTATATTAAAATTCGCAGCAAACATTATTCCTACGAATTTTATCCACAAATAATACATTCGTGGATAATTAGGAAAGCCTCCAACATGTGATACATAATCTTTTAAACTTTAAGATCGTAGATTATAAGCCTAATACTCAACCATACAAATCAATTTGTAAGGTAAGTGTTGCCCCAACTTATATACTCTTTAATTGTTTTATTTTTAATCGATGTGGGACTTGAAGTTTTCTTAAAATATTAAACATATAAATTTAAATATTTTTTTGATTTTTCCTGTGAATTAAAATTGGAGGGAAAATCCGCAAGAAAAGTTACCTGCAAACTTTTTCTACCATTTAGTAAACATTACTTGCAAATTTATTTTTGCAAGAAAATCTGCAATAAACAAAATAAAATTCTTACAATATTTTTGCAAATTTTTACAATGGAAAAATGTAACGCCATGGAAATACCGAGCTATTTGATAGATATACTATATATATATATATGTATGTATGCATGTATGTATATGTTGTTTATATGGATTTGGATTGGATTATGGAGATGTGAATTCGAAATGTACTTACCTCTGTGCATGTTGTATGTTGATGTGGTTTTGATTAGTTATTTAAGCATGGTAGTGATTTTATAGTATGAGATGAGAGGTTGATGTTTTGAGAGGTTTATATAGACATGTGTGTGCATGAATTTGGTGAATGATGCATTGTACACCATTATACTAAATTGGTACTAAGAGGGAAGAAGACTGATCACCTTCCTTCTCATCTTGGTTAAGTGAAGTATTATGGCATGCAACTCATTATTCCAAGCATATGTATCTGAAAGTGATGTTTGTTTGTGTGTTGATACATGTTGCATTTCATATGGTGGTGAGTTGTGAGTATTGCATGGAAAGGAATAGGATGGGTAGGAGATTGAAGGATAGGAACATAAGATAAATCCGGTCTTTCTGAGTGAATTTGAGGTTGTTTTAGAGCTTAGGGAGTTGAAATACTTCAAGGAATAGGATATTTGAGGTGAATAGGTGCTAAGGGTGAAATTTGAAAATTTCAAACAATGGCTATATATAGGGACTTAGGACCGGAGGGTCTCATTTGTTAGAAAGGGACAGTTCAAGAGAGAGAAAGTAGAGAGAGAGGCTCTGGTCCGGAGGGAAGCTGAAGACACATTTGGGAAGCTTATTAAGCCAGGATCAATCTTCACAACTAGAGTTTCAAGAGATTCAACCTTTAAAGCCTTGAAAAGTTAGATTGAAGTTTGAATCGGAAATTTGAGGGTTTTGTTCAAATCTTGCATTTCTAAAGTTTCTGAGGTAAGGGTAGTACTTAGAAGACTTAATCTGCTGTGTATGGGTTTGAAATATCACATTGATTCCATGTTTTAGGCATGATTGAGGCTAGATTGAGTGGAAAGGGTTTTGGTAGGGTTTCCCTATGATTTCCCACAAACCCTAAAGAGACTTGACCAGCTCTGATACTAACAAGTGTAATGACTCGCCTTAGGCCGTCACATCAACAACCAATATGACAACTAAAACACATATAATATATAATAAAGAAAATAGAGAAAAGGCCAACTACACTAGAGTGTAAATATAAAATGACATGTAAATTGTTTTCATCATATAAAACATAATTTTATAACAGGGTCATCATCAGTAGGGTTATACAGTCATCCAAAAAGATAATGAATGTACAACATCATGACAACATCAAAAGGGACACCCTAGGTGCTGGTCAAGCTCTAAGTCTAGCCACTTCTCAAAGCAGCTACCAAAAGACTCCTTGCCATCCCAAAGCCTCACACCTGATCTGCTCCCCCACATAGTGAGATCATCACAGTCCACATCATGGAAATATAAGGGTTAGCACGTATAAAACCAACCATAGTACAATAAAATGAAATATCATTAAACTAGATATTCATCAACAATGTGTATCCATATTAAGGGAATGACAACATGATAACCAGTCATTTCCATGCCAAATATAAACCAATCCAAAGTCCAATGTACACACATCCATACCAAATGCATACATATTCCACATCCAAACCAAAGTCACACCACTGTATAATCCTATGAAGTAGCCAACACATCCAAACCAAATGTTGACCTCAACACATCCAAACTAAGTATTGAATTCGTGAACATGTCACCTGCCCATGTCACACACCTAACCTCTCATGAAAAATATACAGTTGGGTTACGTCGTCACGTAACCCTGATGATCGCGACCACTTCATCCATCGGTATGACTCGGCCTTGCCCCCATACCGATAGCAAATATAATACTTAGAAGAGTACTTCAGAATCCACCTAACATCTAAAGTGGTTTATTATATAATCTTTGGAAAAGTTCCATATTGAAATCCTCACCATCGGACTCCCAAATTCCATATTTTTCCAAAGATTATATCCTGATCTCACCAAGAGATCTCCTAATCCATACCATAATTGTACTCCTCTAAGTCCTATTAGCTTTCCAAACTAAACACACATAGAATATTCCATAATTACATACAAAATTTTCCATAACCATGCCAAATTACTCAATATAACAACATAAATAATTAAACACCCAAAACAACTATCAACTTAACCAAATTACCCTTTGTGAAATGACAATCTTCACATAAAATAGCATATTAAGAGTTATACTACTCCTATCATGCTCATAACTGCTCCTATCATGATCATACTTATCTCATATGAAAGATAAGAGTATTTCCTACAACTCTTATGAAGACATCAAGTCCTAATTCCATCATCTACTTTGTTAAAAATTCTAAAAACCGCAACAGCTATAACCAATGCTGGCAGCTTCACCCCTGTTCACTAAAACAGTCATATATAGAGTTCTAGACCTCCTTTTTGGGTGATTCCAACGCCATTGGAAAGATAACATCCAAGGCTACAACTTTTATGAAGACTTCAAGACCAAATTACTCACGCACGGCTCACTAATATCACGCCCGGCGCAAAACTCAAACAGAGACCTACAGAGGTCATTGCGCCCGGCGCAATTATGCTGCACCCGGCGCAATATCAGTAACCAAATTGCGCCCGGCCTGACTAAACTCGCACCTGGCATGATTTGGCAATGATGGTCTCTGATGAATTCACGCCTGGCGCCAAAAACTGCGCCCGACGCATTTACAACCATAAACCCTCGAATAACCTTGAAAATTCCTTTCAATCATGAATCCAATCCAAATTACATGAGTTCGAACCATTATAAAGCATAAACAATATCCAAAAACAACATTTTAAGCAATAAAATCAAGTATTAACCATTAATCCATGGAAATCATAGGGAAACCCTATCGAAACCCTTTCCAGTCAATCCAGCCTCAATCATGCCTAAAACATGAAATCAATGTGATATTTCAAACCCATACACAACAGATTAAGTCTTATAAGTACTACCCTTACCTCAGAAACTTCAGAAATGGAAGATTTGAACAAAACCCTCAAATTCCCAATTCAAACTTCAATCTCACTTTTCAAGGCTTTAAAGGTTGAATCTCTTGAAACTCTAGTTGTGAAGATTGATCCTAGCTTGATAAGCTTCCCAAATG